GGTTGTATTCTCTACATCAGATGGTAAATTGATGAATAATACATGACGATATGATATCACTACTTATCACTTATTCACCCATGGGGGTAAAATAGAGAACACACACAGCATCCTGTTCCGAAAACATAACACCACGAGTTAGGGTTTCTCTTTAAGTATCACGGTTTGTTTTGGAGGTGAATCCATTTGCCCCCCCAACTTCCACAAGTAGATATCTAAACTTCGGCGATTTACACAAAATATTGATCCTCTCAAAAGCCGCGCCACAAATATCAATACAAAAAATGTGGTGAAGCAACTGTCTTCATGTGTATTTACTTAAGTTTACATCAAATGGAAATATTTTATCTGAAGGAAAGCAACCAATGCATTGCCTCACCGCACAGCTGCAGCTGACAAAGCTACAATCTTCCATGAACGTGCACGACACAAGTAACTGTTACAGCTTAGCCTTAAATTGTAGTAAATTTCAATTTTTATATTTACAAGTGTAAACTGGAGGATTGTAAGATCAGCTTGAAAATGTTTAAACATATTCTAACAAAGCGCTATACTGTTGAGCGTCATATGTATTTCAGCAGGTCTAACCACAATACATTCTATGTTAAGTGGTCTATGTACCATCCACTCTTTGAAAAGTACCTAGCTTTACTTGATAGGCATGTGTGTCTTGACACTAGCAGCTTTTTGTCACTGTTTGTGTGAATCTTTGGAATTGCATGTTTGTTCTGTACCTACGCTTTGTATGCATGAGTGTGTGACAGCTGTATCTTGTTTTTAAAAAATCCTGAATCCTTTCTTATATCTTTTCCTGGTTTTGGCAAAATGTGTTGGTTGTATATTCTGGACTATCGGAGTACGCCCCATTCGAACAGTCTTACATTGAAAACCGAGGTGTCTGTTGTTTGGCGCGTCAATCAGACAGGCACAGAAACACTAAGTATTTGTTATCTGGCGCCGCACAGCTGTACTCCTTCTGTTTGACCGCGGCCTGTCTAAACAAAACCAGAAAAACAGGTGTCGATAAGTGACACGAGGGTGCATGTACTGATTTGAAACAGAAGCAAATATAATAATTTTTTAACTACCTGCTTTGTTATGTAAGTAATAGAGAAAAACAACGCGTACTCCACAAACCACACTTCAGCTTCATGGTGACATTTAATCAAGTCGACAGATGTTATATTGTCAGAAGCAATGAGGATTATTTCACAAACATGACATCTGACACATAGCAGTGGAAGCCTGTTCAGGACATTACGTGAAGGCAACAAAAAAGTAGCATATGTGTTGTGGCATGGTGCTCTTTTTACACATGAATCCTTTCAATAAATGACCGCATTGTTCATTACTGGAATCATATCAGAGGCTTTGGATTCAAAATAGACATTTTCAGTCTGACACGTCCTAAAACACCAGACACCCAGCGAACAGAACGGTTAAGGTCCATGGCAGTGAATCCACTGAAGATAAATGTCATTTCTGATTAGTTGTCCTTTGTATTCTGACCTCCAACATACATTGTGGAAAGATGTCTCGATGATAAATCCATTGGGTTAGTCAGATTTGTAAAGTCCATAGTTACTGAAATGTGTAATAGGCGTAAATATTCAGTATAATTAATGCGTAATAACGTATAGCTAGTCTGTGCCATTTTACTATTCTGTGATAGTGTCACCAATACATTGCGGCCGAATATAGTAAGCATCATCTTCAGTTGTGTCTCTTCGTCCATTTGGGACTATTTAACTGTATTATTGTGTGTACATTTACCGATCTATATAACTTGTGACACATTAATAAAAAGAAAATCTTTCTTCTCTTTTGATCATACGGTTGTGTAGTCAATAGTCGTCTTCGACAGAAGCTGTCAGTGTAAGGGAGGTAATTCAATTCATGACCGATCCTTTAACAGTGGCAACAACAGTATAATATGCGACTATGGACACACTTGCTTACACTGGTTGTATCTAGTGGATTCTAGTGAGTTGTGTTCGCCAATAACACCAATAAATCCATATTTGTTGCACTGGAATATTCAGATGTCTGTTTAGACAGGAAAGCATGCCATCATCACTATAATTAAGTTTGTCCTTGAAACACCAAGAATAATGGATGGTAAATCGAACACTAAGAGTCAACTCCGACAATACTCACAAGGGGCTCCAAAAACCTCTGGAATGAGATCTTTGATCTCGAGACTGGAATTGAACGCTTTCCTCCCCTCCATTGACATGTTGTGTCACTTAGTGTCTTTCAGCTATTTGTCTTCATGCCACTATTGAAAACCCGGTGATGGTCATGGTGTGAAAGATGTGTCTAGTTGTGACTTCGTGAACTCACTAAACCTTGCTTGTCTTCATTCAGACAAAGGAGCCTCCATGCCACCTAAGACAGGGGAACCCAACTTCTACAAATCACAAATCACCATGCATTGTTCTATTTAACCTTGTGTCGGAATTTGTCAATGTAAGTAGGCATTCGTATAAGAAAACTATTTTTTCAAATGATGTTCACAGGAAATTTGCAGTTTTTGTCAATAAAAGATGTTTATCTCAAGAGACAGGGCAAATTCATATTTTCATGAGGGACCATCCACGAGCAGAAATGTCAGGTAATGAGAGACTTTTTTTATTTATCAAACATACTCATAGAAACGAATAAAGGAACACATGAAAGTACAAGTGTTCCTTTATTTCCAGACTTTCACTCATAGTGCAATACATACCTTGTGAAGAAACCTGGAAAAGAATGAAGGAACACTTGTACTTTCATGTGTTTCCTTATTCGTTTCCATGAGTATATTTTCATATTGTTTTCTATTGCTTTACAAACATACCGTTGTCACTGAGGCCGAGTGAATTAGTACCGACATATAGTAGAATGAAAATAAATGTCAGTGTAATACTTTCCAATAATATCCCGACGAGGGACATCAGACATGGTAACTGTAACCTTGTGTGGAATCTAATCTAGGTCTTTGAAGTTACTAGCCAACTTGGCTACCGTGGTTCACATGTGTGGATTATTAAATATATTAATAATATATATTGATCGTATTCCTAGTCGTACGGTATGATATATCTGCGTATATACACTCCCAATGTAATAATGACTATTAAATCATTTAATATTTCCCTAGTACTTGCTTTGTACACTAGAAAAATTGTAGACCGTTCATTGTTAATAAGGGAGTCATACATGGAACAATATAATTCCAACTCTACCAAATGGTACCTAAATGTGAAGAACGTTCAGTTATGTAAATACACACCTGTACTCTCTACATATTAAAATATTTAAAAAAACATATTGAACGTTATTTTTTAAATCCATGCGCTATTCTATTGCATATATAATAACAAAATGTCCAGAAGATATTAACCACGCCTTTGTAGATGGCTAGTAACTGAAAATCAATGCGATCAGTAAATGGCAATAAGCGAGCTGAACTGCCATACGCCCATTGATGGAAGATGTATAGTGGTCGTATATTGGTGATTAAGATAAGAGCTTTGAAGTCAATGTTGCATGGACTGTTATCGTGGTTGTATTGTTTCCTCATTGGGACATGGTAATGCTCATTTGGTAGGCATTAGTTTCATTTGATTCATCTTCAAAGAACTCTGTCATATAATATAATTCATAAAAACGCATGTATGTATGTATAATAATATATAACACGCCTTAATATGAGGTTTTGTAGTTGAATCTACATATGTGAATGGTACTTTTAACATGTTTATTTGAACGTAATTGTTTAAGACTGGATCATACATCTGGGTTGTCCGGTAACTGGTCAAGTGCCTTCGGGAACAACAGGTGTCATCACTGATTTTAAATGATCCATTCAACAATGTATTGCCTTTTAGGCCCACTGAAATGTGTTTCGGCAGATAACCCGTTAGCGCTGACGTTAAGAATTTATCACTTCAGATCATCTAACCAAGATCTACACGTGGGTATTTTGTTTTGTGGCAGTAGAGATTGCTGTGAGATTTTTTGTGCTACTATCAGAGGCAACAAATGATTGAAGAGCTAATATAACGTTGAGTAAGTGTTTGCGACATCGAGGATGTTCAGTTAAGAGTTAACTCCCCTGGTTGCCAACATTGCAGGTTGAAACATTTAAATGATAATTTTTTTGTTTCACAATTAGGTTCTCTACCAAAGGATTGTTGAGTTGGTCTTTGATTTTCAATATATATATAACAATTTAATTATTGGTTTATACGTAATACTAAGTCACGTTAGAACATAATAGACTCCAATTCAAACAAGTAGTGTATCACTTGTAATACAATATGATGTATGTTAATACAATATGCATATAACTATGTTTCCTAAACGTGCCTCTATGACTACAATGTCTTTCAAGGGGAGTCTTCTTGGTGACAGCACATTGTGATTTCCAGCAGGCCTATATTCAAGTAAAGGAGGAACTCGGGACATAAGAGCATATAACCACTGGACAAAGCAGAGCAACGAGAAACACGACTGACATGATCATTTCATGTGAACACTTAGACATACAGTTACTTTCATCTACATAGACAGACAGACAGACAGACAGATGATTTTATTTGTATGGATGGCCATGAGGCCAACAGTACATCAACATTCATAACAGTAAAGAGTCCGGAGCGCCTGGACATTGATTCACATATGAACCGTATGTGATGGTACTTTTGTACAATACACAGCTAAACGTACTAGTATATTAGCTGATTTTGAATTCAGAAGAGTTACAAACTTGTGATAGTTGGGGTTGGTGTAGTAATAACATGGTAGATATTTTTTCCGCAGATCGTTGTACAATGGACATTCTAGTAATACATGATATTCATTTTCTAATTTGTTAAGGCAATGTGGACACATGGCAATTGCGATATCTGCACTTGTCGATCTTCTGTATAACCGATGTTAAAACCAGCAATACCACATCGAAATTTTGTCAGTGCTCTACGCAAATGAGCAGAGGTCAAGACTCGTAGGAAAGTTTCCGGCATTATGTCAAGTTGATAGGTTGAATATGTGCGTAAATATTTGGAAGCAGTCACGGTAGCTGACCACTCTTGATAATAAATATCTTTACATTTACATATATTGTCACTGTATGGATGACATTGTTCTGGGGTGACTTATGACATCCTCACACACTTCATACACCCCTGCTATATCACGTCCTGCGACAGGATGTGTACACTGGACACACCCTTGTTGGACATTCTATTATTATCTCCCATCGTTACTGGCTGTTTACGATCCCTGTACAAGGCATCAGTGTCGACATTCGCCGTTCCCCGTCTCTTTCTCCGCTTACTGTTAACAAAAACAGAAGTAACATTACGTTAATGGATCAAGTATATACTCATGGAAACAAATAAGAGAACACGTGAAAGTACAAGTGTTCCTTTATTTATTCCCAGAATTTCACCCACAGTGCAATACATACCTTGTGAACAAGCCTGTTCCCTTATTTGTTTCCATGTATATATTTTCATGACTTCACTTAAACCGAAGTCACAACTGATAAATTTACACCATTATAGAAGATATATTTTATGCCCGAAATCATCAACAGTACATGAAATGTTTGATAAGTAATATATATGCTGTGTTGTCTCTCTCCAAGTTTCGGAGCCGGGTCAGTCGTCGAACGCGCCAAAATTCTGGTCGAGTCCTTTGTGTAGAGGCAATTGTTTAAAGCCTGACAGAGTGTTCGAGTCTTTCGTTCGCACTGATTATGCTCGTTATTTCCCAGACGAGGTAATAAACGCCTAATACCTGCATTTCTTCGGGTTCACTTCCCACCTCAAGCTGACACGCCGTGATATATCTGGAATATCACGTATTCCACTTTTTTGTGAACATACTTACGTGAGAACACAAAGAGCAACAGCTGCAACAACGACGATGAAAAGTATTCCAGCTGTAGCGATCCCGATTAACGTACCTTGAAGTATAAAATCCAATATACATGTATAAAGCTGTACACGATACTCGTTTAATTAAAGAACCAACTACGCACAGGATTATATTGTATACATTGCCAATTAATATGAAAAAAATCAGAAAAGGTACCTTCTGTGAATTTAACAAGAGTTATTTGGTGTTTTGCATATTAAGGGCGGGGCTCCATTTTCTATAACCTTACCATATTCAAAGAATTATCGTGTTCCATTGTTCCAAACACCTAAGGTTACCATGAACATATTCGCGATTTTCTTCAGCGCCAGTATGGGTATTATCACCATTACCTGTACGTGGAATTCCATCAGCATTGTGATTGAACGTCTGGTTTTCAGCAGTTGTTCCATCGATTTCTGAAAGACAAATCTGTCAATAACGTTGTAAAACATCCTATTGTTTTGCATCATACTTAGGCTATTACTGATCCCGCACAGAAAAAATAAGGCCAAAATGTATAGATTTACTATCACGACTAAAAACGTCGTTCACTACTAAATGTTACATCATATGTGCACTGAACGTCTCTATGATCCTATTGTGAGACACACCCAATTCCTTGTTGTTTGGATTTTGCGAGCAATCTGTCAGTGTCAATGTATATTTGCGAACACTTTATGTCATTTTACTTTCTGTGATTCATAACCAATTGCTAATGGCATGAAATGCAGGAGGAAAATAAGTGCCCACAAGAACATTACGCCGAAGAATACAAAGGTTATCAAAACTTGACAGGGCTTGAAAATCTTCGAAACCTCACAGACTTAGGTCCTAATACACCACCATCGAATACCCATTTCTTTTGTTTCATAATCAGCGACCATCAAAGATGGGTGTACAGTTTCTTTTGCTCTGCAGTTCATGTCAAGATATGTTGGCATAAACATGATGGCCTCTTACGACACTAACTCAGAAGACGTTTGATCAACAAGCCTTAAAAACGTTTTACGGTAGACACATGGATGACATTTCCAAAACTGACATACCAGTGACAAACATTATGTCCTATTAAGTACCTTATCACTATTTACTAATGACTCACAAAAACGTGTCATGATAAAGTCGAAATTAGATAATTCTGTTTTGGTAGTGATTTCTCACTGACATTGAACGTGTTTCGTCGCTATTTTTCACCTGTGTCACATTTTTCTCCAGTCCAGCCAGTATCACATCCAGCATCACAAAGACCCGAAACGTTGTCGCAGGAGACGCCTCCAGCACAGACACCACAAGCCGCACATGCCGCTCCATAGGTATTGGACGGGCACTCTGAATTCACACAGAACATAATGATTGTTTTGTTATAGCTGGATGTGTCTACCTGTTGTTTCTTGGGGAAGAACGACACACTGAAATGGGGTGTTTAGCTAGGCAATAGTCGTCAGTATTTCGCAAACTTAACCTAATATTCCTTCGTCTAGGCATGTTATATATACCCACCATATAGCTGGAATACTGCTGAGTGTGGCGTTAAACAACAACCAAACTATATATACCACATTCCGGTGTTGATGTACCTGTGTCACATTTGTCTCCAGTCCATCCTAACTGGCATCCATCTGGACAGACGCCTGACGCCTCGTCACATGACACACCTCCAGCACAGTAGCCACATGGCACACACGATGCTCCGTATGTGTCCGGCTCACAAGCTATGTAAAGATACGTACACATGAGTTGGGTTACACACCATCTGTGGTCATATCAAGCAACATCCCAGCCGTACTTCTTTACTAATATTTACCACTGGACTGGATCGGGTCCTACTATTTGCAGGACACACAAGCCATGACTTACAGTGTGCGTGTGTGTGTGTGTGTTTTTGTTTTGTTCTGTTTTTGCTTTTTGTGGGGAGGTTTGTTTGTTTGTTTTAAGTTTTTTGGGTTAGGTTTTTGTTTGTTTCTTTTTGTTTTTTTGTTAATTCAGCCGATACATCTTCCTCTAATACGTCTAATACATGAGTCGCAGTCATTGCACACAAACCACACGGTGTACGTGTACATGAATTTATATGGCGTTTTGATGATAGCGGCAAATGTATGTTGGTTGAGATGTTAGCAGTCGATTGCTGAGGCATATAAGTAAACTCATTTCACTAACCTCTTTATTGTACTGGTAATGTTGTAGCAAGGGATCTCACAAACTTACCTATGTCGCAGTTAGCTCCCCTCCATCCGCGCAGACATCCATCCGGGCATTGACCAGTCACCGGGTTACACACACTTCCGTTGTTGCAGTTAGAGCACGCAGCGGCACAATCATCACCGTAGCTTCCCGGGGGACAAACTAAAATCAGTTTGAAGAAAATGATTGTACCGAAAATATGCAAGTGTACAGAAATACTTTGGGAACAATTTGACATGATTCAAATAAATATGACTAAAACAAACCTTGCGTGCAGTTGTCTCCCTTGTAGCCAGGCGAGCAGCCTCCATAACACAGGCCGGTTGTCTTTTCACATATGTAGGCACAGTGTCCACAGGGTTCACATTTATGTCCGTAATGGCCATCCGTACAAGGAGCTGTCGTTAACAGTGTCACATAGAAAATCTTTATTGAAGGAAAAATATCCGTAATTAGCTTGATGTTGCGTTATTTATTAAGTGTCAGTATTATCAATTACAAATGAATTATTTGTTAAGCTTTCCAGTGAAATCACAGCATCCCTTTTTCTAAAGGAAAGAAAACTGATGCAGGTCTTAAATGCTTGTCACTAGTAAAATCCAACTGATTTCGTACATTGCTACATGGGATTCGAAAATAACGTTGAATAGCTAATTCAGGTGCCTCAGACGACTGATTCATATTGAGTTTGATGTGACTATGCGCATGAAGATTATCTGTCAAATTTCTGTTTACGCACGAACAATTTGTGTACACGTTTTAAATTACATGTCTTTTAAATTACAAAACACTCTTTAAGTACCTGAATTATTGTAGTTCGGTGAATATACGTGAATCCCAGCACATGACTGAATAGTACTTGCTTTCAACGGCGCCCAGTAAATTCCATCTGTGCTTATGATGTTAATTGTGCTGTATACCAGAAATATTATGATTATATCGGTTGCTGTCATTTGCATTACATTTAGCAAAGTTACACAAATCTCAGAAATCGTTGTACGTAAATTTTCAATAACCACACAATTAGAGTAATTTGTTCTGACATAGTTTTCGGTATGTTGAAGTTCATAGGAATGAATAAAATCGCACTCATTTTGAAACACTGTGTAGTGTTTGTTGAAGTTCATAAGAATGAATAAAATCGCACTCATTTTGAAACACTGTGTAGTAGAGGAGCCCATTGAAGTAGGATATGAAGAAGAATTTAGTTCCGCTCTGTGTTAGTACTTTCTTCATGTCCGAGCCATCCACGAGAACAGATCCGATGTAACCAGCAGTGTCAGCCCAGTACAGTCGGCCAGCTGTAGGAGGAATTTGAACATTGAGTAAGTTGCACGGCGGATCTCTGATGATGGAACCCATTTGAGCGAATCTTGGATTCGAACGCACATTTCAACCAACAGATCCCCTTGTTGTTTTTAGTACAGAAAACGTCACCATTTTGAGAATTAATTCGTAAACTGTTCATAGTCCTGTTGTAATCATGCTGTATATATCGTTCAATGCAGCTTTCCTCCGCGTTCTGCCGAAATACCTTTTCTGAAGTTGATAACAAAAATAAGCTGTTGTCAAAGGGTGCTCAATTATCATTCTATAATTATCATCTCTGTTTCACCATATGTTCTTATGTCTCAAAACATAGAACGGCAGCATTGTTTTAGTAAATTGTACTCACTGTTTTCATCCAACGTAATATCATAAGGAAAGTGAAGGTCTGACGAGACGAGAGTTTTCCTCTGATCTCCCATATAGTCGGAGGTCTCTATCTTGGAAGTACTGCCTCTGTCCACCCAGTACAATCTCCTATACAGTTTCAACAAGAACTTTACTCGTCTCATCCTCGATAATCTCCAGGGTATACGTTACGATCACTCTCCACTATAGATTATCGAGGATGTACTCGTCTTTACTTCATAATCTAAAATGGTCTAAATAAAAACAATTTAGCAAATCAGAAAATTCAATTATGCGTTTGCTAACTTAGTTTTACTGTAACTACTAAAAAGCAATAGTTTTTAAAGGTGTACTGAAACACCATATAATGTATATAAAACCTATAACATAATATCCATATTTTTGTTTCAAGACTATTTTCAATATTATGAATTTGCTACATGTTTTAAACCACACAGCGTCATGAACTTTAAAACTGTATACATGTACAAAGTAACCTACCGGTCTCTGGTATCAGCAGCAATGCCTCGTGGTTTGTCTAGACCACTGTCAATAATTGTTGTAGACACTAACGTGTTCAGATGAACACTGACTATGATATCTTCACCATCATCTGTGTAGAACAACTGTCTGGCAATGCTGTCAACAGTTAACCCTACAGGTGAAGATGCTGCCAATACACAAACATAGTTATAATATCATAAATGACAATACTCAAATCGCATGGGTAGTAACAATGCAACACTGTTTCCAATAATAAATATCGTATGTGGACAGTATGCCAGTCCACAATGTGTCATATGCAAGGTTTTACGCACGCGCACACACACACACACACACGCACGCACGCACACACACACATGATCAACTTACCCACAAACGAGATGTATACAGCCTTTACTCAGAGAGTACATCAGCGTATTCTCAGAGAAATAAGCCGTCAATTCATCTTACCGAACTGGGCCACGTTTCACGAAGCTGTCGTAGCGTTACGACTGTCGTAAGTTTATGTTACCGTGTAGGAGGTACGACAGTCGTAGCGCTACGATAGCTTTGTGAAACGGGGCCTTGTTTATCCTTCACTACAATTAAGAGATTGAGCTGTTGTCAATTCAAAGATTGTGACCTGGAATACCAATACGTAATTCAACCAAAACATGATCAGTGTTTACTTTTTATTCAAGTTATAGAAATTAAACCATTTCGAAATGGTATATCCCCGTTTTACATTATGCCGTGATGTACTCACTGGTATGTCGTTGTGATATGACCTGAGTTTGTCCGCCATCTGTATCAGCGCGCCTCACTTGTTTCATGGTAATATCCGTCCAATAGATGTGTTCACCAACTTTATCGAAATCAATGGCCATGGGACTGATGAGATGTGGACTTGTTATTGTCGACAAGTTCAAGTGGTGTAAATGTATCGTATGTATGGACGCCGGTTGAAGATCTCGCCCCAAATCAGACAACAGAATCACTAACTTTGGAGACTCTGAAAATAGTTGAATTGGTAACTTTCAGTAGAAAGCATCAAGTTCATAATTTCCCGGGTCTTTTTATAAATGTGTAATTGTTATCTATAATAGCTATATAGGACCATTTTCATTTTAGTTACCACTAATGTTAATGTAATCCGTCCTGAACGTTCATTCTTGGGGGCCCGTGAAGATCCGGGTTAGAATTGACCTCTAGTAACCCATGCTTGTCGTAAGAGCCGACTAACGGGATCGGGTGATCAAGCTCTCTGACTTGGTTGACCCATGTCATCGTATCCCATTTGCGTAGACCGATGCTTATGCTGTTGATTACAGGATTATCTGGTCCAGACTCCATTATTTACAGACGCCACCATATAGCTGGAATATTGCTGAGTGTGGCGTAAAACTAAGAATTAAACTAATCTCATTGTTGGCGGGAGTACTGTGGTATGAGAGACAAACAAACATTTGCCTTTATTCAAACTGTATGAGTAGTGTGTGTTACCAACTGAGTCGGACATAATTACCCTCTCTGCTATCATCTGGTGCCATCACTGGGCTTTTTCACGTTTCTATGGAACATGTCTTGGTGGATAATAGACATATATCGTAATAGATCTATATCGCAAGTACTTGTGTGATGATACATCGACTCAGAGACAAGCATACAGTGACGTTGCAACGTATGATATTTTGCAATGAATCTAATGCTTATGGCTAACTATTTCAAAACTGAGCTGTGGAATCAAAAAGCGTGAGTGAGTGAGGTAATATTTAACGTCACATCGGTTATATCGCAGCCATATCGTGACGAGGAATCAATAAGCACAACACTTAGCCGACTGAACGTGAAAAACATCATCCCAGATCATTTGTTTGTTTCGGGAATTGGGTTAAAACGTTCGTTCGTCAAGCCGGGAAGGCCCGGGTTCGGGAATAATGTGTGAAGCTCATTTCAGGTGTTGAAATATTGCCAAAAGCGGAGTAACCCCCCAACCCACTCACTCACTGTTTCAGAATTTGGTTTGGAGTTATGATAACGTGGCTATGAAAATATGCTGTTAGATGTGCGTCGTCCAACCTAAACCTGCTGCAAGCAGTTTATTCCATCCATCCTATGGATATAGGCTGAAAAACACCTCGAAACATAACCCCCTGTACCACGGATTTGAAACGTAGTAAAGATGGTGGTGGGTGGCGGGCGGTTCTGATAATATATATTCTTGGTTACATTTTCCATATGCTTATGAGATTCATATATTCTTGCACATTTATATGTTATATTTGCTATGTAAACATCTGGAATGAATTTCAGAGGAATTCGAAAGAACATAGGTGGCCTGTAATTACTTGTTAGTAGATGGCAACATACACGAAGACATGATACCATTGAAAGAGGTCCCACTCCACGCTTTCGTCTATCCCTTATGCTGAGCTTCCTCATCCCTTCAGCAATGTCAATGAACTTATCCAACTATCATCCTGACTGCAGAGACTACAATACTAAACAATGTCACGTTGATTGTGTAATAGGCACCATGGATATCTCGTTAGCTAAACGAATAAAAGACGCGGCATTTGGCTACCTTAGAGTCTTCGATACCTGTTATATTCATAGATAAATAGTGTATTCATTATCCAAATAGTTTTATTCTGTTTTGAGTGTTAATGTCAAATAATACAAAAATAGTAACAAGGCATTTGGCTACATTAGAGTCCTCGATAACTGTTATATTCATGGATAGAAATCGTATATTCATTATCCAAATATCCAGAATCTGTTTCTGGTGTGATGTCAAGTGATAATGATATAATAACAAAACATATGTACATATCTCATGCTATGAACCTCAGAAGTTACAAGCATGCTCCTTTGTAACATCATATACAATCCATTACTGGATGAAATGTGCTCCGGGCAAATGGCCCTTCAGTATTAGCAATCAACACCATGGACTCAGGGGGATAGTTAACAGCGATATTTCCACCGTTTACTGGGCATAGGGACTGGGCTCCTAATGAATACGCTGTATGTGTCAATGTAAGATGACTTCCGGAGACAGGGGAATTCGCTGATATTACCTGACACACAAAGGTGTAGATCCCATGATACATTCACGTCACTACTTATTTTACACTTACAATTGTCCTTGAAATTCGGTCACGCGTACGTCGAGTAAAGGTCATGGCCCAACCTTTGATAACATAACACTTCATACACGACTCAGGGGCGGTGGGGTAGTCTAGTGGTTAAAGCGTTCGCTCGTTACGCCGAAGACCCGGGTCCGATTCTTCCCACATGGGTACAATGTGTGAAGCCCATTTTCTGGTGCCCCCCGGCGTGATATTGCTGGAATATTGCTAAAAGCGGCGTAAAACTGAACTCACTCACTCAATCATACACGACTCAATGTAAATCCTTCACTCTTCTTATAATTATGTCTGTGGCGGATAGAAAGTGTGTGTATAAACTCAACACCTTAAGATGTGGGCGGGCGTGTTTTAAAAACAACAACAGAATATAGCACCTACCACATATTTAAGTGAACCGTGCACTGTCAGTAACGGGGTGTTGTTGAAGTCTTAGATGTCATTGAACTGGGTTTTTTGTAAATTTATTTACATATCATATTATGGATGATCTGGCCGTCGTTAACAACTCTTGTATTGGTGGACACCAGTAGTCTATTTTTGAGGCATCAACGATTCCCACATGGGCACAATGTGTTAACCCTTAGGTGTTACCGTTGGAACTAAACAAGCCAACCCCGTGTCGTAAACAGTGTTTACGTTCTAATGAGAAAGTACTCCTATGTTTGTACTAAACGCATAGTTCTTGCCCAGATTGTGTAACACAAAAGGGATCAATTCAGCCATTACATTAAAAGCTTACTGAGAGCTATGGGTTTATGTATTCCCACGCACGATATGTCGATCAGTACTTGACACTGGACTGTTTTTATTCCCCTGGTTATCACATGACAAAATTCTGGAAGGTACTACAGAGGACTATAACCATATGGGCCTTTCCACTATATTTTGAACCACGGAGTTGGAAAATTGGATACATAAGGCATATAAGGAGGACTAGCTATTGCCTCTCACCTGGGATGGGGCAGCCTAGTGTTTAAATCGTTCGCTCGTCACGCGGAAGACTCGGGTTCGATTCCCGGGTACAATGTGTAAAGCCCATTTCTGGTGTCCCCTGCCGTAATATTGCTGGAATATTGCTAAAGGCGGCGTAAAACCATACTCACTCACTCATTTGCCTCTCATTTTACATTACATCACGAGTAATAAGATGACCTGCATTTGTGTGGAGATCATTCTTTGTTACCATGTACTCAACCTAAGCCTATTATGGAAACTTGACCATTGTTGCAGTGGATATTAGAATCTCTGCTAATTGCTTTGATCACTGTTCTATACTGATTTTGAATTTGTACTGCCACTGTAAAAAGTGCGTAGTCAGTTGAGTGTATTTTGTTTTAATTTTAGAATACAAAATTAGTGGTAATGCTATCACATTGCTGTGATGCTTGTTGGGTTAAAACCAAGTGTTTTTACGGACTGATGTCTAGTTAACTACTGCGTTAGTTTCAATCTCACCTGACAATATAAGTATTGTTATGCACTTCACTGTCGTACCTACACAAACATTGTGCAAAACATGTTTGTTGACGTACGGTCGGTCACGTGATACGCAAATTAACACGTGTCAAAGATGCAGTGCTAATGAGCGTGAAGTCATTTTCGAAACTCAAATTCATTGAGGGTGGGTGGGAGCGTGGGGGTGGGGAGGGACAATCGAATAGTAGTCACAACAAGAGTGTAAGATTGAATCGGTTAAAGATAATACATTATGTCCACTTGCAGCCCACTAAGTGTTAAACTCGGTATTCTCCACATGTCACGGCCTATTATTATCAGCTTCCAGTAGAAGTAGACAAGCAATGATTCAAGTATCGGTATCCGTGGTATCCGGATGCCTAGCTGATCTGTGCGCGGTTTCTGATACAGGCATGTGCTTAAAAATCGACAGGGGTCTAGCTGCTGCAACAGGAGGTCCCAGTATAACCCCATACATCCTTAGAACATTTCAGCTTGTGTTGTCTCTTGGAGGATTTTTACACATTTCCAAAGTTCCAATATACATATTTTCTTGAAAGTGTATTTATTCTTGCGTTTCAATATCTGCGAATAAGGCTCTTTCGTCCATGGTCTCATATGCAATTTATCAATGAGTGAAAGAAGATTTACCGTGACTAAAACAATTCATACTTTGATAATAGTTAACACTACATTGTAAAATATGTCGAAAAACGCCATTAAAGCAATTAGAATATGACAGACATAGATTTAAAACATTTGGAGCAGATCACAATCAGGACAATACAATATGAAAACAAGCTGTAGATCTCCAGCATCCGAAGGTAGATCACCATACCAGGGAGCAGGTTTACTTACAGTACTTTTGCTACCTGCATGGACCTTAGCTAGATTTACATCATTCCTTCAGGAGTTGGCCATTATTGGGGAAATTAGCCATACATTAAAAGAACACATATTCTACGACATAAATACAGAGGATGGCAAATACTTTGAATATACGTACTCTCTCAACATGCAACCTTTCAGAGCATGCCAAATACAAATATAAACGAACATAAAACCACCCTACAACGCTCGATTAAGAGACATGTTGCATGCAGTATACAATCAAACACCATTGTGTCGAACTTGAAAAGCTTTGTTGCCGTGTGCTCCTTCTTAAGTTCCCCGACCGCGTCATACCAAAAGACGTTAAAATGTGGTATTTGGTCCCTGCCTGGCGCTTGGCATTAATGGGTACAACAAGGACTGGTCGGCTCGGAGTCAGTATAATGTGTCTGAGTGGGGTATTCATGCTTCACTGCGGCATGGTATCTCAGTGAGCTAGCACTATAAAACCAGCTTAAGTCTGGGCTAGTACAAGCAGCCGCACATACACACGCATGCACGTCGTCATATGAGCGAAATATTCTCAATCACGACGTTAAACCCAATTTCACCTCACCTCACCTTTATAGTAATCACTTGCGGACTGTGTAGTATGTATTCATGGATACGATATGGATCAGATGTAAGACTTACCTTTGCTAGAAGCTACTGTTGTCAGGACTCCGAGAAGGACACATAATGGGTTGACACTCGCCATAACTATGAATGACACATGTATATCTGAGATAGGTGTCCGTGACTGACATAACGAATCCCCGCTTCCGTGTGAAACTGTGTGTTTCCTTTCTGTTAGGCTGTTTCCTCCATAAGTATCTAGCAGTTACCACAACAAACGTTCCCGTGTGTGCGTATTTCAAAGTGAACCGTTTACTAAACTGTGACTCCACACAGAATCCCATAAAATGCAATAATCACGAAATTAGTGTTTCATGCTTGGTTTGGAGTTTTGCTGATTAGACCATTAAAGCAATCAATGCAGTAATCAAAGATCGCATATCTGCGCTCTAACCTATGAAGTACATGTGCTCAATAAAGCTTTCCTGTTCATAATGCCTGCAGTTAGAATAACCTACACTGACCGAAAGTATGTTTATACCATGGGCCTTCCGCAAGAGAAAATGAAATTGAAACGAAGTACAACCAAACACCGTTGACCTACGTAAATAGTTAGAATTATCTTTCGTTCGACTCAATCGCCAATTATTACTTTCTGCAGACACGCTGCATGTTGTGTATTTTGCCTGCAGACACGCTGCATGTTGTGTATGTTGCCTGCAGACATACTGCATGTTGTGTATTTTGCCTGCAGGCACGCTGCATGTTGTGTATTTTGCCTGCAGACACGTTGCATGTTGTGTATTTTGCCTGTAGACATGCTGCATGTTGTGTATTTTGCCTGCTGACACGCTGCATGTTGTGTATTTTGCCTGCAGACACGCTGCATGTTGTGTATTTTGCCTGCAGACATGCTGCATGTTGTGTATTTTGCCTGCCGACATACTGCATGTTGTGTATTTTGCCTGCAGACACGCTGCATGTTGTGTATTTTGCCTGCAGTTGAGTTGAGTTGAGTTGGGCTTTACGTCACATCGGCATTATTCCAGCCATATAGTGACGAGAACAAGTCTGCATTAATATACATTGTAAGTACAAAGTGGTTTCGTTTCAAAGACATACATTCATTACATTATCATTTTAGAACAGAGAATGTCATAGCACCAAATTGAAAAGCAGGTAAATTCGTTAGTGACATTACACAGTTACAATTTATGATATAGATCAACTTCCCTCAGGTAGTTCAGTATCAGATGAGCGCTAACGCTGGAGAACAGATCTATTTTGCCTGCAGACATGCTGCATGTTGTGTATTTTGCCTGCCGACATGCTGCATGTTGTGTATTTTGCCTGCAGACACGAAGCATGTTGTGTATTTTGCCTGCCGGCATGCTGCATGGTTGTGTATTTTGCCTGCCGACATGCTGCATGGTGGTGTATTTTGTCTGCAGACATGCTGCATGATTGTGTATTTTGCTTGCAGACATGCTGCATGTTGTGTATTTTGCCTGCCGACATGCTGCATGGTTGTGTATTTTGCCTGCCGACATGCTGCATGGTTGTGTATTTTGCCTGCAGACACGCTGCATGTTGTGTATTTTGCCTGCAGACACGCTGCATGTTGTGTATTTTGCCTGCCGGCATGCTGTATGGTTGTGTATTTTGCCTGCCGACATGCTGCATGGTGGTGTATTTTGTCTGCAGACATGCTGCATGGTTGTGTATTTTGCTTGCCGACATACTGCATGTTGTGTACTTTACCTGCAGACATGTTGCATGGTTGTGTATGTTTTCTGCAGACATGTTGCATGGTAGTGTATGATGTCTGCAGACATGCTGCATGGTTGTGTATTTTGTCTGCCGACATGCTGCATGTTGTGTATTTTGCCTGCCGACATGCTGCATGTTGTGTATTTTGTCTGCCGACATGCTGCATGTTGTGTATTTTGTCTGCAGACATGCTGCATGTTGTGTTATTTTGCCCGTCTGGTTGTGTATTTTGCCTGCCGTCATGCTGCAGACATGCTGCATGTTGTGTATTTTGCCTGCCGACATGCTGCATGTTGTGTATTTTGTCTGCAGACATGCTGCATGTTGTGTATTTTATCTGCAGACATGCTGCATGTTGTGTATTTTGTCTGCTGACATGCTGTATGTTGTGTATTTTGCCTGCCGACATACTGCATGTTGTGTATTTTGTCTGCAGACATGCTGCATGGTTGTGTATTTTGCCTGCCGACATGCTGCATGGTTGTGTATTTTGCTTGCAGACATGCTGCATGTTGTGTATTTGCCCGCCGACATGCTGCATGGTGCCATGCCGACATACTGCATACATGTTGTGTATTTTGCCTGCCGACATGCTGCTGCATGTTGTGTATTTTGCCTGCCGACATGCTGCATGGTTGTGTATTTTGCCTGCAGACATGCTGCATGTTGTGTATTTTGCCATGGTTGTGCCGACATGCTGCATGTTGGTGTATTTTGCCTGCCGACATTCTGCATGTTGTGTATTTTGCCGCAGACATGCGACATACTGCAGCATGTTGTGTATTTTGCCTGCAGACACGCTGCATGTTGTGTATTTTGCCTGCAGTTGAGTTGAGTTGAGTTGGGCTTTACGTCACATCGGCATTATTCCAGCCATATAGTGACGAGAACAAGTCTGCATTAATATACATTGTAAGTACAAAGTGGTTTCGTTTCAAAGACATACATTCATTACATTATCATTTTAGAACAGAGAATGTCATAGCACCAAATTGAAAAGCAGGTAAATTCGTTAGTGACATTACACAGTTACAATTTATGATATAGATCAACTTCCCTCAGGTAGTTCAGTATCAGATGAGCGCTAACGCTGGAGAACAGATCTATTTTGCCTGCAGACATGCTGCATGTTGTGTATTTTGCCTGCCGACATGCTGCATGTTGTGTATTTTGCCTGCAGACACGAAGCATGTTGTGTATTTTGCCTGCCGGCATGCTGCATGGTTGTGTATTTTGCCTGCCGACATGCTGCATGGTGGTGTATTTTGTCTGCAGACATGCTGCATGATTGTGTATTTTGCTTGCAGACATGCTGCATGTTGTGTATTTTGCCTGCCGACATGCTGCATGGTTGTGTATTTTGCCTGCCGACATGCTGCATGTTGTGTATTTTGCCTGCAGACACGCTGCATGTTGTGTATTTTGCCTGCAGACACGCTGCATGTTGTGTATTTTGCCTGCCGGCATGCTGTATGGTTGTGTATTTTGCCTGCCGACATACTGCATGTTGTGTATTTTGTCTGCAGACATGCTGCATGGTTGTGTATTTTGCTTGCCGACATACTGCATGTTGTGTATTTTGTCTGCCGGCATGCTGTATGGTTGTGTATTTTGCCTGCCGACATGCTGCATGGTGGTGTATTTTGTCTGCAGACATGCTGCATGGTTGTGTATTTTGCTTGCCGACATACTGCATGTTGTGTACTTTACCTGCAGACATGTTGCATGGTTGTGTATGTTTTCTGCAGACATGTTGCATGGTAGTGTATTTTGTCTGCCGACATGCTGCATGTTGTGTATTTTGCCTGCCGACATGCTGCATGTTGTGTATTTTGTCTGCTGACATGCTGCATGTTGTGTATTTTGCCTGCCGACATGCTGCATGGTTGTGTATTTTGCCTGCCTACATGCTGCATGTTGTGTATTTTGCCAGCCGACATACTGCATGTTGTGTATTTTGCCTGCAGACATGCTGCATGGTGGTGTATTTTGCCTGCCGACATTCTGCATGTTGTGTATTTTGTCTGCAGACATGCTGCATGTTGTGTATTTTGTCTGCAGACATGCTGCATGTTGTTTATTTTGTCTGCCGACATGCTGCATGTTGTGTATTTTGCCTGCCGACATACTGCATGTTGTGTATTTTGCCTGCAGACATGCTGCATGGTTGTGTATTTTGCCTGCCGACATGCTGCATGTTGTGTATTTTGTCTGCAGACATGCTGCATGTTGTGTATTTTATCTGCAGACATGCTGCATGTTGTGTATTTTGTCTGCTGACATGCTGTATGTTGTGTATTTTGCCTGCCGACATGCTGCATGTTGTGTATTTTGTCTGCAGACATGCTGCATGGTGGTGTATTTTGCCTGCCGACATGCTGCATGTTGTGTATTTTGCCAGCCGACATACTGCATGTTGTGTATTTTGCCTGCCGACATGCTGCATGGTGGTGTATTTTGCCTGCAGACATGCTGCATGGTTGTGTATTTTGCCTGCAGACATGCTGCATGTTGTGTATTTTGTCTGCTGACATGCTGTATGTTGTGTATTTTGCCTGCCGACATGCTGCATGTTGTGTATTTTGTCTGCCGACATGTTGCACGGTTGTGTATTTTGTCTGCAGACATGCTGCATGTTGTGTATTTTGCCTGCCGACATGCTGCATGGTTGTGTATTTTGCTTGCCGACATACTGCATGGTTGTGTATTTTGCCTGCAGACATGCTGCATGGTTGTGTATTTTGCCTGCAGACATACTGCATGGTTGTGTATTTGGCCTGAAGACAAGCTGCATGTTGTGTCTTTTGCCAGCCGACATACTGCATGGTTGTGTATTTTGCCTGTCCACATACTGCATGGTTGTGTATTTTGCCTGCAGACATACTGCATTATGTGTATTTTGCCTGCTGACATGTTGCACGGTTGTGTGTGTTTTCTGCAGACATACTGCATGGTTGTGTATTTTGTCTGCCGACATACTGCATGGTTGTGTATTTTGCCTGCAGACATACTGCATGGTTGTGTATGTTTTCTGCCGACATGCTGCATGTTGTGTATTTTTTCTGCAGACATGCTGCATGGTTGTGTATGTTTTCTGCCGACATGCTGCATGTTGTGTATTTTGTCTGCAGACATGCTGCATGTTGTGTATTTTGTTCATGTGCAGGAGGGTGGTGTATTTATTATAGGCAAACAGTGAGTACTCTATATCTTTCATAGATATGTTCAGGAGTATCCTTACAGATTTTTTATTCCGATTCAAAACCATCGCATTCCACCATTAGATTTTAATGTAATTAGCGTTACGTCCAATTATTTCAGAGATGTTCTCCACCGTGGTGCCAATGTAGTGTATAGACTCTGGTTTGCTGGACTTGTGTATCTCAGCTTTATTAATATCTTTTTGCATTATTGGAGAGGAATACATTTGTGGACATGCTCGGTAAATATGGATCAGTGAACATTCTTCATAGGTACATGTACAATTTTACCCACAGCTGCGCCTAAAGAACAGAAACAATTACAGTTCCATAGTATCGCCATATGGGTTTATCACAAAAGAAATATAGACCCCTACTTAAAAAACAAGTTTGAATATAGCATGTATTCAGCTTTAAACACCATTCTCTGGAGATGTATGCATAGAAAATTGCAATTCAAGTCAGTTCTACTTAACACAAATCTATTAAATGTATGGCATGGCCATATTAGACTCCTGTATATAGAACGTCAATGCCATAGAATAATCAGTCTCATTTATCAGTAAAAAACGATCACACTGGATGTAAAAGACAAAATTGAGAGGAAGATTATGTGAATGGACATTATGTCGAAAAACAACTAATTCCTCAATCATTGATCGATATTTATAGAGAGTATTAATACCAATTTTCTCATCAATACGGAATGTTAGTCTGGGATGGTCAATTCCTCAATTGTGCTTGATGGTTATATGCTGAAAAAGTTGACATGTATATATATAGGATTCCTCCCCAGGTGTTGGGGCAGTCGTCATACGGTGGAGTTTCGCTGTCTTCCTAAGGTGCGTGGGTAGAGATCATTACACATTGAACTAATGTGCTAGAATGGTTTACAGTACGTAAGACTATGTATATATTTCATTACGTTTACATTTTAAAATGCAAAATTATCTATTAGTGTTCATCACTTAAATTTTTCCTCATTATTATATTAACAGTTCAAAATGTTCATATCGCTATGGTATATTTATTATCTAAGAATATATTTTGTATAGAATTGAAACAAATCTCATTATCATGTTGAATTATGTATTCTTACAAAGAACTTGTTTGGCAATATACTATTAACCTGAGTTTTTAACCATTTAAAACCTATTGATTTAAGCTGTGGGAAGATGACAGTGTGTGTGCTTCTCGACTTATGTTATTTGAAACCTGACCCAAACGGTTTTACGTCCTTTTTATTCATAGTGCACTAAGACTGTTTTGTTTGTAATCGACGTTCAGCAGTCATCTTGTAGGGTTATCTCTGAAATGTTCTGGCTCGACTGACGATCTCTTACGATTTACATGACAGTTAGGGATTCTTATTCAAATCTGATCTCTAATTTGAAAATACGAAAGTATTGTAATGTATTTTTATTATGACAATATTCAAAAGCAACATGAAGATGTTCGTAGCTGTGCGGTGATTTTCATATTTGGGGAGTGTTATTCAAATCTGATTACTAATCTGCTCATGTGTATCAAGACATTTTCATTTGAAAATAAGAAAGTATTTTAATGTATGTATTTTTTGACAATATTTAAAGGCAACATGAAGGTGCACGTAACTGTCGTTGTGTTGGTGTTGGTGAACGTCGCTGGCGTTGTGGCCGTGGGTGACGGCACGTTGACTGAAACGGACAAGGAGTACTTGGTGACAGGGCATAATGGAGAAAGGAAGACCCAAGGTGCAACTAACATGTACAAAATTGTGAGTAGAGACGGGTTTATGGAACTCTCATGGTGTGGCTTCATTAGGACAGTACTTTATGGTTTCTGAATTGTTAGGTCGATTGATGGACTGACGTAGAATTGGTGTGTAGTATTTCAGAATTTGATAATTATTGTGATATTATTAGCTTGATCAACTTTCTGTTGGCCAGAGGTTTCTTCTTCTATTTCTTCTTCTTCCTCTTCTACTACTACTCTTCTTCGTTTTCTTCCAGACAACAATGCTCTAGACCATGCTCTATTTAATATTTCAACAAATTTAGCACATGTTCCCATGTAAAAAGTACATATTAACAAGTTAACAAGATGTTCAAACCTTCGGAAGCGAAACAGCGTTAGCAACCAAAACATGAATTGTGTACATATTCTAAATATAAATAATAAAAATTTCCAAACAAACACATTTGCAATGGAGGCAGCAGCAACCCGGTCGGATGTGTGTGGTTTGTTGCAATCTGAATGACATACTGTGTTTAGTTGAGGGGGGTGGGGGGGTGTTTATAGTGTGGCGTGTTTTTCATCTTTATGATCGTTATTTGGATACTAGTGTCTGGTTTGTATTTTGGGTTTTCTTGTGACGATAAATCATTTTTTGTGGTTTGACGACAAACATATGAAAATAATGGATTATGGTAAACAGAACAGGGCATCGTCGTAGGCATTCTTTGTACGTCGTACGTTTGTTTGTGGAGCAATTGGAGAGAATTATCGGACACAGATAGAGAGCTGACTATTTATTTATCTTTTAGCCGAGATTTCGTCTAAACGTGGAAAGGGTTTCATCGTTTCTATTTGTTTTCGGGGATTTCTTTTGGAAGTAAAACCTGAAGCACATTGGGGTTTTCTATCATCATATGGAAGACAATATTTTCCACAAATGAATTCATTAAAAATATTTAAGTTGTCAGTGATACACACACTTGACTTGGAGAACTCATCTATTCTAAACACGACTTCAGAGATAATTTGTGTTTACGTTGGCAGAAGTGGGATGACGATCTGGCCACAACAGCTCAGAAGCATGCCGATAAGTGTCTGTGGGAGCACACACCTGATGGCGAGAGAACATGGGGTGAAAACATGGCTCAGATCAAGTTTCCAGAAGCACAGTATCTTGACACATACCCGCATCCGAAGATGATTGACATCGTGGTGACGGAAGGTATGACAGGATTCCAGTCGTGGAGTGGCGAAGAGGAAAACGATGTCAAACATGACTTTTCATGCGCTAGAAGTGACTGGAATGGAAAGACTTGTGGTCACTACACCCAGGTTAGTAAATAATATATTTTAAGTATGTTTCAGTTTTAAACGTTTGCACCGTTGCCAGAGAGAGAGAGAGAGAGAGAGAGAGAGAGAGAGAGAGAGAGAGAGAGAGAGAGAGAGAGAGAGAGAGAGAGAGAGAGAGAGAGAGAGAGAGAGAGAGAGAGAGAGAGAGAGAGAGAGAGAGAGAGAGAGAGAGAGAGAGAGAGATACACGCGCACGCATACTTCAAACATTTACAGGGACTCGACCACAACAACATTCCATGGGCCTATCCAATTTCCATATTAACATTTCGTCATTGTGTCACTTATCCAACAACTAAAACGTCTCCATGAGACCCCTGAAGATCTGGTTAGAAGTCACCTTTCTGTCTTGTTGATAGGTGGTGTGGCATTCCTCAACAAAGGTTGGCTGCGGGGCAAGAAACTGTATAAACTTCACCCAGAAGAAGGATCCAGAAGATATTCAACACAACGTCTGGATCCTCGTCTGCGCCTACATGAAGCCGTATGTTCAGTCACCTGTCCTTCATATAATTGGAAATATAGTGTTATTACCATAAAAGGATAAATAAATTGGAGGAATTTTGATTTTTTAATAGCCATTGCATATGAAACCGTTTCAGGGGTAGAATGAATCCAGCACTACCTTGTTCCAACGGGTAGTATAAACGGCAATGACAGTTTTTGACCTTTGGCACTGAAATCCAACTAAATTGTTATACAACTTTTTTTTAGAAAATGCCAATTTTTACCTATGGAGAAGAAATAGTTTAGCGCTAAAGAACTATGTTTTAAGACCCGTGAAGATCCGGGTTAGAATATTGATCTTCAGTAACCCATGCTTGTCGTAAGAGGCGACTAACGGGGTCGGGTGGTCAGGCTCGCTGACAGGTGTCCTCCCATTTGTGAGGACTCCCAGTTGTGAGACACATTAATTAATGGTTCAGTGCACATAGGTGGTGTTTCCACATCCCTACAATGAAAGTGGGATCAGCCAAGCCCAGTACCCACAGGAGGCATAGTTCATTGATGAGTTGATTATATAGATTATCAAAGATTATATTTACACAAAAGAAATAGTTCATTGAATATTTTATTTATTCAGAAGAATATGTAATTATGATAACACCTTTTTATTGACTATTATGAAGTTTGAAAGTCATTTTGGTTTAAACATATTTTATTATTATTTATGAAAATTAATTGGGATTGGTGAAGTATTACTGCTTATGTTAACACCGCTCCCATGCAACATAAAATATAAAATGAAATGGAGGATGTGACGTCATCGATATTGACTATTGCATAAATATATTTTTAAGTACATATAAATATATACAGATTACATCAAGTACAACTATTCTCTAAGTAGTCATAATTAGAGACTTACAGTTGTGTGTGTCTAACAAGCCATTGTAGGAATATAATCAATCACGAGAAGGTTGTTGAGTTAATTTCAGCATTTCCCTGTGAAAGTCTGTGTCTTGATGATATAATCGTGGACGGATTCAACTATTTTCTGGTTTACATAAGGAGTAAATTCTTTGTTTCCGTTCAAAAACTTATCCAGGTTATAACGGGTAGTTGATATCCACAAGAGCAACATGCACTGTCTATTAAATGTCTGTTATACATATTGGCGTTTGGGTCGCTACATCCGAGCCTGAGGCAGCGATGAACGATTTGACGAAAACAAGAGCCATAATTAAGATCAATATAAATCTTGTTTTCTGTTTTTGTAATTAGGTTTTAAAATTCTTTGAGACTGCATGACTCTTTGAAATTTGGTAGGGCATTCCATAAATTTATTGTGTCGGGTAGAAAGGGTTTGGCATTAGTGGCATTTCGACTGTAAATTTCAGAGTTATTTCAGAGTTATTTCTTAAACTATAGCTTGTAGTTTCGGAGACGGAGTAAATCTGAGTAGGTAAATTAATTTCTCTTTGATCACGAAGTTACCTCCACAAAGTGTTTAATTATTAAAGACATTTACCTGAATATGTTAATCAATTTATCTTATAAAGTTTTATTAAGTTACCTCCACAAGATTCAGTTACATAGCAAATCAGTAATTAGCTAGGGTGAATCCATTCTATCAGACAGGGGAGTATGGTGTGTTTTCGTTGTTAATTACCTACTCCACTGTCTCATAACTGGGAGTCTAACAAATGGGAGTTCTCACAAATGGGAGTAGACCCGCTGACATGGTTGACACATGTCATCGGTTCCCAATTGCGTAGATCGATGCTCATGCTGTTGATCACTGGGCTGTCTGGTCCAGACTCGATTATTTACAGACCGTCGCCATATAGCTGGAATATTGCTGAGTGCAGCGTAAAACTAAACTCATTCACTCACTATGTTTTAAAGCCTAAAAGAGATGTCTCTTCGAATATGCACCGATAATGACAACAATCATGGCGAAACGCATTGCGTCCCATATCGCGGCCAAAATAGAAGACAAACGGATGGAAATGGTTCCGGAAAACACTTAGTACTTGTGGGCCTATATCTGTAAAGGGTAATACATTCCTTACACGGTCATTTGCCAGGTAGTATACATGTAGGATGGTACGGCCCGTCCGGATGCGGCCTTTGGCCTCAGCAAATACGCATTCAAACTGACCATACCATCCCATACTGCCTGGCAAATGACCGTGTAACTGATATTCTCATTTTGTATGGAGCTTTGTTACATATACGACTACTATGTAGTGAAGGATACGACTGTTTGGGCCGATCTGATCTATCCAGGTTATTGTCAAGTTTCGGTATGACATAACCTTTGAAGTCCCAGGTAAAAACTGGCCTTCAGCAACCCATGCACGTCGTGAGAGACAACTAACATGATCGGGTGGTCAGACTCGCTGGCTTTGTCGATGCATGTCATCGTATTCCACTTGCGTAGATCGATGCCCATGCTCAATCACTGGATTGTCTGGTCCAGACTCGATTATTTACAGACCATCATCATGTCGGAGGAAGATTGCCGAGAACGGCAATCATTACCTTGCTGTCATACATGCAATTCCAGAACAGTTTCGTCATCCCTTAAATAATTTGTTGAGGCTAGGAAACAACAACAAGTGATTGTGTGTTGGAATTCCGGTTCGTCCTCTAGTTCGTGATTGTGTGTTGGAATCCCGGTTCGTCCTCTAGTTCGTGATTGTGGGTTGGAATCCCGGTTCGTCCTCTAGTTCGTGATTGTGGGTTGGAATCCCGGTTCGTCCTCTAGTTCGTGATTGTGGGTTGGAATCCCGGTTCGTCCTCTAGTTCATGTCTAGTTTTGTCATCAATTTCATTTCAATTCTTTATTCCCATAAACCACCTTGGTGGTACAAGATCATATATTTTAAACATATACCATTCCAAAAAGGAAACGTATAACCGAGATATCTGTTGCGAAAATGTTGCATTTTCAAATATGTATAACTCGTTCACAAATTTAGAGTTTAGTACATGAATCTTTACATCAGTTTAGAGGAATGGAAAGTCTATACAACCAAGCGGATAATTTTAGTTAACGGAGACGTTGAGCGCGATGGCGACGACGTAGCACGGTCCCGACGTCGGGTCTCCTGGCTTTCAGTCCAATCTCTCTCAACCTGTTCCGTACAGTTTGACCGGATATCATCTGAAATCCAGGGCCTAGATTTTCGAAGCTCTCTTAGCGCTAAGATAGTCGTAAGTGCCATTCATTCACATTAACTTAAGACTATCTTAGCGCTAAGAGAGCTTCGAAACTCTAGGCCCAGGCACCCTGGCTGCTGTGCTCTCACCCGTGGCAGTACGATCACGCAAATGTAGTCTGCCTGTACGGGGACTGTCATTTGTTACACCTGTTTGGTTGTAGCGAACTGCAAGCCGTGATATCGTGCTCAGACTAACATTCAGACGCCTGGCAACAGAAGATTGGTTATCTCCAGCGTGCATTTTTTTAATGGCGATGTTCCGTGTCGCAGCCTCAAGACGTGGCGTAGTCATTTGACCTTGAAACGCCTTCTAAACGAATGCCGATTTCCGAAAGTAATCTAGATTTTTATACACAGACAGTGCGTGTTCTTTGCTGCACAATTTCAACTCGAAGGTGATTTCTGTATCGTTTCGTTTCTTGTAATAAATCTCATCAAAATCAACATTTTCAGGTCAAGTCGATTTTTTACCTGTGCATTTATGTAAAATCATGTTATGATTATGCGTTTCCTTTTTGGGATAGTATATATACAAATTCAAATTCAAGATGGCAGTAAACAACATATTAACATTTTTTCTGACAAGAGATGATAGATGTAGGATATATTTTGATAGATTTACTATGTCTCGAAATATTTTGCTGATAATATTTTCGTGAACATTGTTTCATTGGGAAAAGAGGTTAGACGGGTGGGTAAATATTGTAACCTCAAAGTGTCTAATGCTTTTCAATGAAAAATATAATGATATTCATCTGAGATGCTGTTAGAAGTGCATAGTTGACACATTCTCTCGTCTCTTGGAATATTATACCAGCGGCCCGTCTCAATAGGTAAACTATGGTTACAACACCATACCAATTCCCGTTGCTTTAACAAAAGTATTACAAGGTCTGACACCCGCATCAATTCAAGATTTCCTCAAACATCAAGCTGTCATCCCGTGATATAATGTAATTGTTGCGTAAAACGGAGTTTAACCCAACTCACCCGTTGAAAATGTATTCATAGTCCAATTATGTTACAGTGGTAATATGGCCAATGAAAATGCTTTTGAGAAGGGAAAAGCGTGTTCCGCCTGTGAAGGAAATGATGGCTGTGAGGACGGCCTTTGTGTTGGTATGTAAACAGTGCTCCTTATCTTTCATTAACACATAGATATATGTAAATGGTGGTATTTATAACAACTTTTTTATACTTTCGGAAATATTGTTCTCCTAATATCCCTCTCAGTAACAGCTCCCTAACCCTTAATTCACAACTACTTGAAAAAAATATTTAGACTAAAATGTGTTTAGTATTGTTGGACCGCTGAAGTTGGGAGTCACGATCGGGGGTACAAGTGAGCCGTGCTCACATTGTTTTGTTAAATGTACACTATCACAGACATCATACTTTTAAACATCACATAAGACCAAATATCATGGATGTCAACTTTATTGTATACACAACGTTTCTGGGCTATTCCTTGCGGCTTTCTTGAGTCCGTTATAACTTTTGGTTGGTTCTATATTGTGACTTTATCTTACAGTTTTACTTAATAATCACCATTCGTACAGGCATTTATTCTTGCTCGTATGGTGTGACTTGGTTATTCTTTTATGTACTACTCTAGATTAGGTAAGTTCGTATTTCGCGTTTTATATTTGATATTGACGTTGTCATTCATTTCTTTCCAGCGTCATAAAGAGAATGTGATATGGACGAACTCAAGTGCTGAAGACTTCTTGATTAAGATCTGTGCTTTACGTAGTCGAGCTCTTGAAATAAATACATAGTCCAAACCCTGACAATGTGTGCATCTTCGCTAATTCACATTATGCATTTCACAGTCCTACACGTATATAACTACTGCTTGTTACTGTTGTTTTACACGACGGTAAGCATAATATAATCTATATCACGTCAGCCAGGTTCCGGGCTACGTGGACACACAATCATCAAACTCACATCTTGTCCACCCGATCCCCGTCTTAGTCGGGTCTTCTGACCAGAATTTCTGAGCCTCCTCACTATAGGGATATCGTCACAATATAGAGATGAAGGGAATAGTCCACTGAGGTTAAATGTGGAGCGTAATCCGATCACTGATCTATTGTAAAATACAGTCACGCAATGATTTGTTGTAACTTGCGACATGGAAAAGGGTTTCACCTTGAGGTTTGAATGTTCCATATGTTCCCATGCTTCTTCAATGCATTTCTCTTGCATTTGTGACGTTCTAAGTTGTGATTTGTACCCTTTGTTCCGCTTCTACAAGTATACAGTTCCCATGCCTTTGCTTGTGTATGGTAGGTGCTACGAGAGCAGTACGATAAGCTCAGCCTTCCGCGAACACCTCGTATCACCCTTATTTGATAGTGATTCCTAAATATGCTTTTCTGTGCAAATAACTTCATTAATCGGAAAACGCCGTCACGCACATTGTCCTTGTAACTTGAATGAGTAAGTGATATGGAGTTTTATGCTTCAACACTATTACGAGTATGTCATTGAGGAAAGTTGGAGGTGAGGTGAGGTGAAATTGGGTTTAACGTCGTACTTGAGAATATTTCGCTCATATGACGACGTGCATGCGCGTGTATGTGTATGTGCAGCTGCTTGCACTAGCCCAGACTGATGCTGGTTTTATAGTGCTAGCCCACTGAGATACCATGCCGCAGTGAAGCATGAATATCCCACTCAAACACATTATACTGACTCCGAGCCGACCAGTCCTTGTTGTACCCATTAATGCCGAGCACCAGGCAGGGACCAACAAGTACCATATTTTAACGTCTTTTGGTATGACGCGGTCGGGGATCGAACCCGCGACCTTCCGCTCTCCGAGGAAAGTTGGGAGAAAGTGAGGCGGATTGTGGACGGTTATAGTTTGGGGAAACTCCATCAGAGAGCGAATGGTGATGACAAACCACAGATGCTAATCTCTACCATTTTCAGATTCAAACTCACTATCCCCAGACAACTCAGAGACCGAAGTCCACTTTACGAATTCCCACACCTTAGACGACGGCATGGTGTAATGGTGGCCCCTCTGTCCGTAAACTACATACGGCCCATCAAGTTGATGTCTGCAAGATATCAGAAGCAAGAATCCTCAATCCTGGGCTATTTTACGATACATCGAGCAAAGATTTTAATTACGTGGTTTACGGATCTAAGAAACAGCATCTATTGTCGAGTAGCCAGTGTATGATATCTCCTATTCTGTGACAAATAAATCTCGACCCTTACACGGGATATTCTGGCATGGTAGTAGAGTTACAAATACTGGCGCACTGTATACACATGTGATGTTCTAATGTTACGACCTACAGATAAACACCTGCTTCTAAAACACGTGGGTCAACATACCATATTCTGAATAACTTGACATCCGGGTTTATCCGGAGACAAAAGGGAATTCATATTGGTAATCGGAAACACAGGTCACTCAAAATGAAGACCTCGACAATACGGAAACATCGCTGTTGGAACCATTACATCCTGCAAAACGTATGTGATGAACGAACTGATTTATTTGGCAAAATCGCGGCATTTTTCATTACTGTCAGACATTCTTTTATCAAAATGCAAGTTAGAGAGACAAAAACAGGAGGCATTTATTGAAACTTTTGCATTGTCTGTTATTATTTAGTGATAACGGAAATTCGTACTCCCACGTAATTGTTATTATTATTATTACCCACGTGGACGACCCCTGACGTCGGAAGTGCAGCCCCCAGCGTTTCCGGGTAGGCCGACATTAGAGCGTCAAGTAATCTCTTCCTGTCATTTGATAGGATGATGTGCGGGACATGGTGGCTGAAAACCTTTCAAACGTTCCCGAACACGATACGACCCTGAAGTTGTTTAACAATAGACCTATCCTCGTTGTTCATCACACCAACTTCTAAATGCCACTCAAACAAGATATAATATACACATATGGAGTCTTTCCTTACTTAAATATGCAATCATTCTTACACACACACACACACACACACACACACACACACACACACACACACACACACACACACACACACACACACACACACACACACACACACACACACACACACACACACACTTGTAACCGTAAAAGATCTTATGTCAAACCAGTATCACTTAGCTTGAGGATGTTGCTTTCAGTCAGCCAAACATGTGGCAAAGTCATCGTCACTTCTCTGTTACTGCCAATTCGCTTCACGAACACGTCGTCAATTTAACCGTGTAATAGTTGGTTTGGTTGGTTGGTTTTATAGTTTTAGGGCGACGTGGGCCAATAAGAGGCCTATTTGCGCCCAACACATTGACTTGATTTAATCAACAATCATAGTTAATTTCATCGCCAAAAGGAATCGTTTAGTTAAGATAAAAGAAACGACAACACTATTAATATTAATTTGGATAGATGTATATACATATCGACAAACCTCTGCTTTGTGTTACGGATTAAAAACCTGTTATTAATTACTTCCATTTCTGAAACATGAAATACTCATTTATTAAAAAAAGCAGTAGTTCCAGATGACAGTGTTAAAATGATTTAAAACCACAGAACTAAAGCCATTCGATAGCCTGTGTAGATTACATCATATTTTCCAGATGACGAGACAAAATCTAAAACTGCCCGTTACACAGACCCATACAAGATATTGGGGCCCAAAACTGTTTCTAATGAAAATAAATCATCAACCTCAAGTACAGCACTTCTGAGATTATGTCTTATGTTGTTATGCCCAGGGCATGTAATTAGATAATGTTCGATATTTTCGATTAATTGCAATGGCCACATTTAGAAGAGACCGTCTTATCTATAATACTCCTGTAAGCATTTAGCCCACAGTGTCCAAGTCTGAGACGTGAAAGAATAACCTCATCACGCCTTTTACGACGACGAATTTTATGACCAGATTTTAAAGATGGTGTAAGTTTGTACATATGTCGGCCTGTAGTACCTGTATCCCACAACTGTTGCCAACTCCTTGTAACAGATTTCGATAAAAAAAAATCAAAATCTTTAGGGACTGGTTGAAATTTAAATAAATCAACTTCAGGAAACTGTAATCCGGATTTGGCCAAATTATCTGCAATCTCATTCCCATGTATTCCAACATGTGCTGGGACCCACACAATGTCGCATGCAATGTACTTCATGTTTAAAGATGTATCCAGCTTTAATATCTCATGAACAATGTCATCTCTAGATCCGTTTGCACCAGCTTCTATAGCTTTGATTGCTGCCATGGAATCCGTAAAGATAATTGCTTCATGGTCATGTTCATCTACCCATCTCAATGCTTGCAAAATGGACAAAAGTTCAGCTGCAAAACCAGAAAGATAATCAGGGAATCTGAACACCTTAGCGATCGATAAATTAGTTATCCAAAAAGCCCCAGCAGTACGATCATTGGATGGTTCTTCCTTCGATGCATCAGTGTATATATGTGTGAAATTAGAATCATTTTCATGCAGAAAGTCTTGAGTTATCACTTTTATTATGTTTTGGTCCATTCTCTTATTCACGATTAAACTGAGTTCAGAATTCAATCCAGGCTTCAGCATAACCCACGGAGGTGTGACAGGCGGAGCAGAAGGATCAACTGGCTTACAGTTGTAAAGACCCATGTTGATCAGCTAATCTCTGTACATGCAAGCCAAAGGGTAGTTTGCCATGAGTCCAGTCACACATGACATATTCCACACAGTCATAAACAATCTCAGTGACTGCAAGGCGTTTGTTCTTGGTTTTCATTTTTAAGAAATATTTCAAAGATACCTATTGTCTTCGATGGTGAAGAGGCATTTCTGAACACTCAACTTGAATGGCTGAGGTTGGAGTTGTAGAATAGTTCCCAGTGCATATTCTCAAAGCTTTAGACTGAATTCTATCTAGCTTATTAAGATGACATTTAGCCGCCGATATATACACCTGGCAACCATAGTCAAGTCTGGACAAGAAAAGGGCCTTGTACAGCAATAACATAGTTGACTTATCAGCACCCCACTTTGTTTTTGAAATACACTTTAATAGATTTATGATCTTGTTACATGTGTTATACAAATGTGTGATGTGATGAGACCATGTTAATCTTTGATCAAAATACACATCAAGAGATTTGAACACTGACATCATTTCCAGTTTATGGTGTCCAAGAGTTAGATTGATATCATGAGGTATTTTACGTCTTCTGATCATCATTGCCACTGATTTTGATTTTGAAATCTTAAACCCCCATTTTGAATACCATGTATTGACTTTACTTAAGCAGTTTTGTACAGATTCTATGACAAACTGAAAATTACCAAAGCGTCTCCAAAACGATCCGTCATCAGCAAACTGTGCTGTATTTATGTTTAGAGGCAGGTCCTCGAACATGTCATTGACCATAATATGAAATAAGACTGGACTTATTACACTTCCTTGTGGGGTACCATTTTCAATCATAAGCACGCCTGACAGTTTTTGACTTATGCGAACTTGAATGGTTCTTTCGGACAAAAATGACCATATCCACTTGAACATGTTGCCTCTAATTCCAAGTTTCCACAATTTAAAAAGCAAACCATTTCTCCAAATCACGCCGTAAGCTTTTTCGATATCAAGGAATACACACATGTATTCCTGGTTGCATAAATCTTTCTGTGCTTCAGTTTCCAGACGAACATGTTGATCTATACATGAACGCCCCTTTCTGAATCCTGACTGGATGTGGGTAAGAAGCTCATTTCGTTCAACATAATAGTTCAGGCGATTAGTAACTATTCTCACCATGATTTTACATAAATTAGAAGTGATCTATCG